AAACTTGGATGAACTGATTTCAAGGTTGTTTATACCATTCAATATTTTATTATATTTATTCATGCAATTCAGGAAACATCAAAAAGGCTACGTATTTCAATAAAGTTCTAGTACCGGTTACAATTAATGTACAAAAGCAATTTTTTTATTGACAACACAAAATATATGATCAATATCTGATAACCAGCGTAGCAGCAGCATAATTATCTTTTGTCTGGAATTCTGTAATACCATTTTTGACGTTTAAATATATACCATTTAAATTATAGCGGGTTTCTAGTTTTTCCTGGTAATGAGATAAAATAGTGTTTTGGGGGCCCCTCTACTCCATCGCAAACCTAACCTCGCCACCAGGGTTTGGGTAACAGACTCAGTGGACGCCATATAGCAGCTATGTATGATGCATCATACATAGCTGCTCCGAATTCTGCACTGAGGGGCAACAAAAAACTAGCCGCCTGTCGCCAGTCTGCTGGGAGAGCGCCAATAGCACTATACCCTTTGTGCCTTTTGCAAGTGGAATGATGAGTATAGAGATATATGAGCATTTGATAGCAACAAGCCTAAGACATCACAGGCCTGCTGGTTCATCACCCGGAGATGCAACTCCAGCGACAAAATGTGGGCGGGGAAGGTGCTGGGCTTGTACCGCTACAGGTCGCCATTGAACAGGGATAAGTTCGATGTGGTGCTGGAGGTCGAATGGCATGCTCCCCTGCTGGGGAACAACAGTGATGCCGAAGTTGCAGTCAACCAGTTCATGAATGTCCCCTTGGTGGACACCAGGGCTGCCAGTGTGTCCAACACAGGCTCTCGTTACTACCTGGCTGAGGATGTTGCGCCTTGCCGAGTGCACATCTTGCCACACCCCAGTAAGCGGGCGCCCTGTGTGTTCTTTCAAGAAGCTACAGCTTCATGCGGGTGGCTGGCTGGGAGGCCCTGCAGCCGCAGACCCCATGGGCGAGGTCACGGTAGCAGCACATTAATATTAGCGCTGCAAGACCTCTGAATCCCTTGTGGCTTGCTCTTGAGGGGCAATCGTTAGTAACACATTGGTGGAGTGGAGGGCAAATCGTGGGGACTGGTGGGCATGGTCGCCCAGGCCCTCGAATGGTCGGACCGTGGCCTGGGCAGGGCTTCTCAATGGAGGTACAGCTGATGGTATGGCTGATGGATAACCGAATGAATGTTGTGCACAGGGACGTATTGTGAAGTAATAGGTAATGGGAGTGGCACATTACTATGCAAATCGACAGAAATTGCTTGGGGCCCGTTCCATATGTTGACTGACTAAATCCTTCGTTGGATAGTTGATTGTTGGGGCATGTCTGCTTCGCTTGTATACTGGGGCGACTTTCTGGTGCCAGCCAGTACTAGTTTTCGAAGGGCCTTACCCGCGGGTCCAGAGCAGTAGGGGCCCTCATGGTCGGTCTTGTGGATGATTTCAGCACTATGAACTTATTTCAGAATACAGGACTGACTCTCTGTTTCCTGCTTGAACTATATATGGAAGGGGCAAACCACTGTAACTTAAGCTTGTGCGTGTTTCTGCTAAGTT